CTGGTCTGGTTCTTTTAATAGTGTTGCTGCATTGCCGGAAAAGAAGACCCCCAGCCTTGGCTATCTCAAACTTCTGAAGAACTTGATGCAAGATGTAGTTATTTAGCAGGGTGAACTCTTAGTGTTTACTGGCTGAAGACTCAGTGTGCAATGAAACAAAGGACAATGTGCTACACAGGTGCCTAAATGTACTCACTAGGTCCTAGAGGGGGTCTCAGAATGAACTCACAAAACAGCTGACTTGGCACAGCCAACTGAGGGCACTAGGCAAATAACATAAAAAGTGACCTGTCACAATATAATGAACAATGAACAAATAGCAAAAAAGTCAAAAATGGAGGGGTACTATAAACGCTAACAACATTGGACGCACTAACCTCTTTCTCAACATGGTCCTCATTGGTAAGCTTCCTAGAATTCCCAGCAGACAGGTTGCACACCTGGAAAAGGAAATTAGTAACAATGAAAAAATCTATTGATAATCAGATACAGCATAAGTGTAGGAGTTGCTATCTGAAACAGAGTCTATTGTAAAGTGAAGATATACGACTGTGAGGTAAATGATAACAAAGCTATCACAGTAGCCAGTGATTTTTATGAGCAAAGAATACAGTACAGTTATTTTGTAGCTTTCGACAGGGAAACAATCATCTTTTTCCTATACAAATTCTTTCAAAATTACTCAGATAAAAAGTAATCACTGACTGATCACTTACAAACATGAAATTGTGAGATGCTTCAAAAGTGAAAAGTTTTTGAAACAAACTGATTTTATTTCATGAAACAAACTTTGATCCGAGACACATACAAAACAATGAAATAAAACGCACAAGAAGGAAAATGGCATTAATATATGTGGCCAGCTCTGCAAAAAAGGGTAATAAGTTGCGCAATGCCAAAACACATAATGGCCTGTTCTATTTGGAGAGGGCAAAACTTCTTTAAAAAAAGGATTTTGAGTTTTTTCCTTTAATACTTTCTATAATATTTATATTTTCAGACTTTGCGACAACAAACATGGATACTGATGAATAAAGATGAAACGCTGATCATTCAGTAGAAAATCTTACATAGCATTGTGTTCCAAGCGCTACACTTCAAGAGCTTTTTCTCAAAAAGCGCTTTTATTGAATCCAAAAATGTGGATATACAAATGTCTATATATCTCCAGAATGCAGCCCACAACAGGGCTCATTCATGTATCAACCTGTAGCTTTTGATGTGCACAGTCCAGCCATATCAAAAACTCATAACTTGAATCTGGCGACTTATTACTCATTTTTCTAGAGCCAGTCACATATTTAACGTGTAGTCATAACTTATCTTTGAAATTGAAAAGAGAATCATTCCTCTGTTGCCATCAGTGCATATATTTATGTTCCCAAGAAACATTGAGCATCCCGAGATCATTTTATTTGATATGCTCCAGCTGAAAACAAGGGCTTGAATGGACCCTTCCCTATTGAAAAGTTCCAAGAGGCACATGTTTACATCTTACCTCTGTGGCAAATTGGGCAGGGGTTGCCAAGTGCCGGTTGCTGGCCGAAGATGACCTGTGCTTGCTGGCAGTGAAGAAGAGCTCAGCAAATTCCAAGGAATTGCTCGGCCACAGTGCCTGGTAGCACAGAAAAATATTATTAATGTGTCCCCATTCTTCAGTGGCACGAAATTGTAAACACATTTTGTTGGTCTGGGACCAGTCTTGTCTTCTACCGTGGAAGTAAATAAATTCACCACTCTTACATCAACCGCTATTGACAGTTTAACGACTCTAGAGCCTGGAAAGTTTATATAATTACACAGCTAATGCAATTGGCAAGGGCAAATCTAATGATTCAAGTTCCATTTTTTTCATAACATTTTAACTAAGGTTTTCTGATTTGAAATGAGTCCCAAACAAGCTAGTAAAATAAGACCTGAATAAAAATAATTGATGGTATTAGATTTCAAAGATCTGTACCTTTTCTGATATTTCCATATTCCTTGCCCTTTCTTCCATCCAGCAGGCTAGAAATTTCTGCCACAATAATAAAAAAGAGACATCTGAGTGCAGAGAATGTTTTGACAAATAGCGTTATCCAACTGTAAAGAAATAATTACCTTGCTCGTTTCCTTTGCTAGAGCTCTTGTCAAGTGAAAAATAGAAATTTTTTCTGTCACTGTGAATATTTATTTTGTCATAAGGTCAATTAATGATAGTAATAATGTGTAATCGGGAATTTTAAACTTTGACATACATACATGTATTATCCTTGTCTTATTCAAACTGACATGCCAGTACAAAACAAGGATTTAGAACCCAGTGGCATGTTTAAAAGAATTCCTCTGGCTGTTTGCTTTAATATTCTGTAGGGTCTTTTCCTGACGGCTGCCAAAATAATGGAGGGTGCTTGATAATTCCCTCTCACCTTGCCTTGAGGGAACCGATGAATGACAAACGGAATGAGATCCTCTCGGAGCCAGGGAGTGATCTGGGTGGATGGAGTACTCTCGGGGATGGAGCTGAGAATGGATTCCAGGGTCTCAATGCCACCAGACAGCAGGCTACTCTCGATGACAGCCTTCAATACAGAGAAAAAAAACACAGGCCAAACTCTAGCAATAAAACTGTCAGGCTTCAAAGAGGCAGTAGGCTGAACAAGGTGTGCAGTGTAATTGCATTCAGATATTCTGATGTACATGTAGTCACCTTCGCTTAAAACAACTGCAGCACACTGAAGAGAATTTATTCATGAAAGTGGTCAGCTGGTAACCACCAGAAAGCATGCAGTAAGAGCAAGAAAGAGGATTTTCAAATGAGTTTGCTCAAATGCAAGCAGTACAAAACTTTACATATCTTTGTTTTCGTCAATATGACTGAGCCCCGTGTACAATGTGAAGCAACAAGCACAAATCAGTGGAAGCACAAATGATGTACATTCTGTATCGGATAGCCAACTTTTCTGAAAGAGGGACCAAGGTTTGCAGTAACATTTCATAACCACCTCTTACGTCAACAATATGGGAAAACAGTTCTCACACCTATGCTGCCTAGCGGTCACAATGTGAGATGGGTGGAGAAAAAAAATTGGGAATTTTCACTTGTATTTAAGCATATATAAACTTGCAAACTATTTACAAAATGTGAGGAGGTTTTTTCAAAACTGTGCAACTTCAGTTTTAGAGCCTATGCACCAACCTTGTGTCTTTGCCAGATGATAACTGCTTTGGCAATGTGGGCCATCGACAGCCAGTGCAGCAATTCTTCTAGAAGGTCAGCATGCAGAAAGCGATCCCATTGATTAGCACTGGAAAATCAGAACAGGAAACAACTGTAAAGCTGAGAAAATTTTCACTGAGAGACAATGGGATCTGCACAAAACCCTTACCACTGTGAATTTTTTTCAGAAGTGATTTACCTTCAGAAATATTTTATACATAACTCATTCCTTCCCAATTCTAGTATATCTTCCATTACATAATGCTCTAATGGAGGTTTTAAAGCAAAGTTTTGGCTAGTTTATTAAAGTGATAAGGCTGCAGTACATTTTTTTGCTTGTACGTGTATGTGGCCTGGATAGCCTTCACTTTCATTGTCTAATGCCGTTCAGAAACAATTGCAGAAGAGAAAAACAACCCAGCTTTCTAATAAACATTACACAGAGATGGTTAAAAACTGTTTGGATGTCTACTTCTTCAAGCTGAGGAAATTTAAAAACTGAAATTAAAAAGATGAAGAAGAAAGCGATTTGAAGGAAGTAAAGCATACCTGAATTGCTGATAACCAAATACCATTTGGAATGTTGCAAGTCGGTGAAGTACCTCCAATACCTTCAAGGGAGACAAAATATACTAACTAATATTAAATAATATCGAATAGCAATATTGTCAACAATCTAGAGTATAGCTTACTTCAAAAGAGGGTTTATTGCTTTTTATTACTCCGTAGTGAAGTAGAATAAATAAAAAAACTTTGCCATCATTTCTTGCACTGTCATACATTTAACACAGCCAACTCCAAAAGAAAGTCTGATGTACATGTAAATGTACATGCGAAAGAAGGTAACCCTCTAAGCCAGCCAATCAGAGAAATTGATTGAAAAACAGGTTCTGTATGCTGCGGCTTATGGAACTGCAAAGTATGTGTATAAAACATTTTCCCGGAAAATATGAATGCACATACATGTACTCATGGTCCAAGTCTATGCAAAAAGATCTACACTTCTAACAGATTTGAGAAGTTTGCATCTGCTGGGTCTATGAAGTCCATTTCCACAGTATTGAGTCATATCTGCTCTACGTCTTTGAGAGTTAAATCGCCCAAATGTTGGGTGTGAATGAAGTTTAAGCTTTACACTTTGTCCCTGGTGACACAGTGAAGGGGTAAAGTAGTTGAGGACTTCTTTCAACACCAGGAAAAGAACTATTTCTAAAGGGCGATTACACCAATGAGATAGTACTTACCCTGGTCATAAGTGAGGAGGAAGGCAGCTGGTTGTTTTCAACTGGTAGTCCTGTTACCAACTTCTTGGACAACTTTCAAAAACAGAACACGACGGGAGCATGTTTCAGAGGTGTTAAAGTCGGAGCCGATGCTGAATAAAAAGTATTGCTAACCTCTCATTGTGATAAAAAAACTGCACTGTGCTAACATTTCATTAGAATCAGACACAAATTCCATTTGACTCATAACCATGATATGACTAAACTGGGATGCTACTTTGGCATGTAATGTGTGGTTTCTATCCCATAACTAGCTCCCCAATGCAGAGCTAAAGGATGTAAGCATGCTGCACCTCACGTGAACCAATGTACTTTCCCATAAAAAACAGCTGCAACTGTCAATATGTTCATTATCTCCTTGAAGAATCTATACTACCAAGCCATTGCTAATCTAATGCAGCCCCCAGCTACATTTACTCCACCAACACCAGCTTTATGAAATATTGGCATGTCTGAACTATTTGGCTACGGCTGGCTTCAAAAAGACTTCAGTGGGAAATGGGGTTAGCCACTAGCTGGCGGCTTCCATAGATGCATGCATTGTAAGCCACAGCCAAGTGCGTGGGTCCACACGTGCGACACCTACCCTAGCATGAGCATAGCCAATGAGCTGGAACATGGACTCGTAGGTGGGCAGGGTGGCCTGAGTGCACTTCTCCACCATGAAGGCCTCGTCTGGGATGTGGTCCAGACACTCCATCAGCTGGCTGCTCAGTGCGGAGCCCTCATCCGGATCCAGCCGCAGAGACTGGTTCCATGGGGACGCCATCTCCAGGAGGACACTGGCTTTGACTTTGAAGACAAGCTGCCGAAAAAGATAAGGAACCATTTTTAAGTTCAGAGTCCAGAGTAACAAGTAAAAAAATATATATAGATACTAACCGTCATTCTTCTTAACAACACAAAACACATCCCCTCCCCTAATTTTCAGGTTTTCACACTTGTAATTTAAAGCATGGCACATCACAGTAAAATACATGTGACAACAAAGAATCTGACAAATAATTACAAGTAATATTGCCCACTAGAATCGCTTGTGGTGTGTCAGTGTAGGAAAGTGTTAGTGTATATGGCTAGTTTGAGCCCTGTTTAGGTTTCTTCAATACCTAATTTCATATATGTGATGGACAGGAGTGGGTCCAATGTTAAACTTGCAACACTCCAATCGCTTAAGAAGAAAAAATGCAGTTCACACAATTAATGTACAGTTGGTAGAACTTGGCACTAACTGTCACAGGATGTAAAAGTGAATGAACAATGGATGACGCTTGATTGACGAAATGTTACATTTTGAAGTTCCTCAAATTCCCATGCACTTACATTTGTCATACTTCAGTTTTTTGTGGTTCATTTTATCACAGGGACAATTCCCCGATCAGTTTGCTCTGTGCAATTTGCAACAAGCAATGCTCTGCCCAAAACTAACTATAAATATTTCATAAAAAACAAGCTTACCTCCTCATCCAGTTTAAAGAGCCGGGCAAACTGCAGCGCCTCCTCAAACTTCTGCTTGTGGAGTAGACGGTGGAAGCGGGTCTCTGGCAGCGCCTCGGTCAAGCAGCGGACGCGCAGGGTGGAGATCAGATCTGTGGGCACTTGGTGATCCTCATCACTGTCATACGCCCCTTCTATGAGGAAGATGGTCTCCTGATCGTTGGAAGGGAAAGGAGGCACATCAAAAAACAAACAAACAAAATCAGTTTGACTTTTCTGCATTGTCCATTCTGCACTGGAGAATCCTCGTTCAGCCAGTTAGGTCCTAGGCACTCAATAATAGAAGATTTTAGATTTGCGATATTATGCATGCAAAATCATGCATAGTAATGACAGAAGTCATGAAGCATTCTTCTTCTACAGTACAATGCTTTCAAAACCTTTGGACTACAAGTTTCAGAGTATTTTCAAACACCGACTTTAGTGAAAATGAATCAGAAAATGGGATTCATCCATACATATATGCTTGGTCCATTCCCTTCCTTGGCCTCTCTTTGGACAATATTTACCAGGTGTGTAAACATGCTGACATGTGTCTTATTCATGAATAAGTTTTACTATTTCTTACCTAGATTGTTGGGGAGTTTGGACACCAGTCACTTAATGTTCTCAGAATACTCTCAAACCTCTGCTGCCTTAACGAAGCATACAACATTTTTACACTCTAAAAGGAATATTGCAAAAGCATCAAGTCCAGATGGGTTGTTGGATCTGATCTGCAGCCAACCAAGGGCTCCCTGCACATAGGCGTTGGCCAAGAAATCAATATCTTCATATCACTTCTCTAATTCTGTAGGTGTTGCTGGGTAGCCCATAATATATCGGCAGAAAGACAGCAACACCCATTCACAATATGAAGCGTGTGAAGAAGTGACAAGGTTCACTTGGAAAGGGAGGTGT